GAAAGAGGAGATGACGCCAGGGTGTGTTTGAGCAAGGACTTACGAATGAACCCGTTTTGAAGACTTTGGGGTTAGAGGAAAACAGGGAGGTCCACAGAGTCTATCTGAAATAAATCCTAAAGGAAGGCTGGAGGAGAAGTCTCCCTACAAGCAATATTCCTGTCTCTTTTGGGCAAACCACTAACTGCTCTGCTGGTCCTGATTCTGCTTTCTTTCTGGGAGAAAAACAAGCAAGATCTTTTTCTAGGCATGAGCTTTTTCTTGATGGGCATGCAGCTGGTCTGTCACCAGTCCTTGACTAAGTCAAATACTTTTAGTGTGGATATTAAAAGCTAAAGGTTGCCAAGGCTAAAATAAGGCTTGTGTGACTACTGTGCAATATACTGAAGCTCATCATGAGGTGCACGAATATGCTTGTCTCTAAATATCATCTGTTGCTTTTGCTACTACAGTGATGAGATTCTCTGTAAAAGCAGATGTTCATTTTTACAGAATATAAAAGCTTAAGTGAGTGCAAGATTGCTGGCAGTATGGGGGCAGCTTCATCAGAGTAGCTCACGTTGCTGAATTGTAGTTCCCTGCGAAGCTAGGGTGAGTGTCAGCCCATCTGACAAAACTTCATTTTACAGTCAGCAGCATGTCACAGCTGAGTGTATAAGTCATTAGCAGATGTTATTTTACCCCAGTAGAAAAGATCTCATACCTCTTTTCATAGGTTTAACAAGTTATTTTAAGCCACTTTTCTTTCACTGTTTTTTAAATTATTTTTTTACTCAGCCCAACCCTACCTGTGTTTTATTTAATGAGGAAATTCCCGGAGATTTTCTTGTCAGCAGATAAGAGCTTTATATTAAGATTGAAAAGTTTGAATACAGACTTATTAGCCATTTGTGTGTGCTATTATACTCCTATGGAAATAGCTACTTCCAGCCCTTCTGAAGATACCTTCTTGCCTATACATTAGACATGCAGGAGACCTGAGATGGGTATCTGATGGTGAATCTTTGAAGACTTGCATAATATATAATTCTCTTTTCCCAAATTCTCTTCCTTGCTGATGGAGCAGTTGATATTCCCTGTCAGAATTTTCTGCAACTGTATGTAAGGGGCACAGCTTCCTGTTAATTTAATTTTTTTTAAGATAATGGAAGATGTACGGTAAACAGCTGATGGCTCAGGATATCCTTCATAGTTCAAATATGTGTCTCCCTATCCGGGTATACTTTCACCAAAGCAATTGGCATAATATCCAAGCCGTGATTTTTCACCTCTGATAAGGCATTCACTCACCCTGAAGCACAAATACAGCAGTTCTGCTACATGTAGAGCCCTTTGTGTCTGGGAATGGGGCAGGAAGAATTTTCCCCTTAGGTTGTAATTGCAGGACACAAGCTTTCTATAGCACTTTCTTCTACACATAGGTTGTTTTTTTTCCCCCCATTACTTGTGATTTAGTGATGTACTGTTGTATTATAGTAGTGCAGCCTATGCCAGCATTTCCATTATAGCCCGTTTTTCCAGGTTTATAACTCAACAGTAAAAATGTACTCTTCCAATTTGAAACTTGGCATATAATGCCTCATCTCATCCTCAAAGTGATTTTTTTTTCTGAAAATCTTTTTCCCTCCACCTTCTCCCCGCTCCCCAAAAGAGATTGCGTTTTTGCTGTATTTTTAAATGGAAAACATTTTCCATGGGAGAAAAGCCTGCCTGATTATTAAAATTACTTTTCAATCCTAAAAAAGAAGGGCATTCTATAATAGAGGACACATGAATAAGTGTTGTTGTTAGAATGACTACATTAAATATATGGATACAGATAAATAGTACCTTCCAAATTAAAGCTAGGGAATGTTGACCAAAATTATTGAAAAGTGCTTATTTATGTTGATTTTGTTCTAGCTATTGATTTTACCCTTAAAATAGATCTCTAAAAGATAGACGTATTTTAGTTGCTGCACTCTATCAGAATGAATGAAGTAAAGAAAGACTTTGCATATAGACAAAATGGTGACATTTTTCTCTTTTCTTATTTGAGGAACACACTTAGCACTGAAGGAGCATAAATTCTAACTTTGCTGTTAAGTTCAGACCAACAAGGCTAGCCTTGTAGTTCGCACAGTGTTCTGAGCCCTAGGCAGGCACATGCAACAGAGCGTAATGTTTCCAATAGATAGAAACTTGGGTGGACTTGGAAGTTTAACACTGAATGACAAACTAGAAAACACCAGACTTGTACGGGCCTCACAGTTTACACTTCAAGATCTGAATATCTACTCATACCTCTTTTGAAGCCTCAGATTCCAGTTCAGTGTAGTGTGGATATGTAGGCTATAAGAAAATTAGGACTGACATCCAGTTTGGATTGTCTTTCTTTACCCTTCTCCCTTGTAGCCAGCCAGTTGGAAGTAAAATCTACTGAGATGCCATTAGTTGCCATGAGTTTCCAGGAATGCTTCACTGTGTTGCTTCTTGTTGTAGTAAATTTACTTCCAGGCATTTCTTTTTCCATTTAGATAGCTAAATTTATGCTTACTATGACTAACTTGATGGTACTATTTAGAAGAGAGGGTGTATAAGAGACAGATTGTAAGAAAGGTGTTTACTAATGAATTGAGCTATTATTTTATCATATATTTTTAAAACTAGCATATATATCTATGCATTCTTACTATAGATAGGCTGTCACTCACTTAAATTCCAGCTGTTTCTGTTTTTTAGTTGTCTGTAATATGTCTATTTATAAATATAAAAATAAATAAACATTAAAATATCGTGAGAGGCAGGGAATATGTTTCCTAATGAGAAGTTCAGTTTCTTTATTTGAATCTTAAAATTAATAATTACAGTTGAAGAATATTTTATATGCAGACTCACAGCTATAAAATAAGATATCTGTATGGGGAACATTGGTCTGTATAACACAGTGAGATTCAGATCCTCATTTTGTTCAGGAAATAAATTGCAAGTCCAACAAAACTTCCAAATGGAAATATCAGACATGCTCAGTCCTGTCAGTAGTTTTGGTGTATAAATCCAAGTCTTCTTTTATAAGACTTGATTGTACATTTGCCACAAGTAGCTCCTATAGAAGAGCACTGTTTATGGTTCTGAAGTATACGAAGAAAGAAACGATACTGAGATTCACTAGAGTACTTAAATCAACTTCAGCAACATTTATTGGAGATATTGTCAGCACCATGGGGATAGATATTGCTATTGTATAACAGAAGAAAAGTTCCAGCCCAGTCAGGTTCACAGGAGCAATAGAACTATTAAATACCATATGATGCTAGACAGAGTGCATACTATTGCTTTTATTATCTATGATGCTGCCACCGGAAACATTACTTATTTGAGTCAATGTGTGTGAGAGCACACGGTGAGAGTAACAGATAGATGTTTGTCATAAGACATGGCTGAAGATGCATCACATTTTTTGTAGGTTTTGATCATCTAAAATATTCCTGCATTTACTAATATTCCATGTATAATTATCTATGAACGTAATGTAAAGAAACTGCTCAATTTGACTTACACATAGATATATTAAAAGACATTAAGCGTTCTTTTTGCAACTTTCCAGAAGAGGCTCTCTGGCAGCCATGCAATATGTTAAAATTACATTTGTATTTGTCGTAGTAACACATGGATAAATTACAAATATTATCACGAATAAAACATTCCAGTGTTCTATATTTTCATAAAACTTAAGAATAGAGCAGATTGTTAATATTCAGTAATATTTCAGTAACTATTAACTGTCATATATCATTTCTTCTCATGAAGATGCAACATGTTTTTTAAGGGGCCACAGCTCTTAACATGTTCTGTGCAGCTGATGGCACTGATCTTTATAATTACAGAGTACATCATATCCTTAACTGACTGTTTAAGGTTTTGTTGTAAATTTCAAATCAGAACGTGGATGTTATTGGAAAATGTGCTGATACATTAAGAAAGTTTATTTGCTGATAATGTGCTATGCTCTCAAAGTCATAGGAATATGACATCCCATGTGAATTTATCTAATTTTTGTGATACGATATTTATCATTGTACAGGGACTAACTTTTACATTTATTCATAGGCACAGAAGAAGCGGAAATCCAATGACTCTATAGACACAGAGCTCTGTCTTAATGAGGTAAGAGTGTGGATCCTATACATTTCACAGCACAGATAGCTCCCCTTAATATGAAACCCTGAAACTAAATCTCGGCCTGTTGCCTCTCCGACATGAGGGAGGCCTGTCCCCTCTTTGTGAGCTGAGTCCCATCATAGATACTTGCCCACCATGCAGAATAGAAGCTTCTTGGCACGCAAGGAGAGGCTGAGGAAGCTAGGTTTGGTTAGGACAGAGAAGAGGTGGCTAAGGCAGATCTCACTGCGGGCTTCAGCTGTCTAAAGGGGAATACCGAGGAGATGTAGCCAGACTCTTTTCAGAGATTCATAAAGAAGGGACAAGAGGCAACAGTCAAAAGTTACAGCAAAAGACAATCTCTTGAGATACAAAGAAAAAAAATCCTAAGGAGAGTGATTAAACACTAGAACCGGGGTCCAGAGAAACTCTGAAATCTACATCCTTGGAGGTTTTCAGATCCTGAGCTGAGAGTGTTGAGCAACTTTGCTTGGAGCAGATTGGACTACATGACCTTCAGAGGTCCATTCCAGTCTAAATTGTTCTGATTCTGTGATTATACCTGGTTCCTTTTACTAGGGATAATAAGCAATGAAGAATGCTTCTGTTACACCTGCTCCTTTGATAGTTCACTATAATCTGCCGATATAAGCTTGCCTATGGCCACTGGTCTATTATGAGTAGCAAAGAAGACCAGACCTATAAAAATGCAGCAATTAAGGGAAAAAAGGGCTTAACATTTTTTGCAGGCTAGAAACATCAATCTTTTCTGATTCCATGAGCTAGATTTTATCTGTTTACATCCCGAACTAACTTGTTATCAAACAAGTTGTTCTGTTGGCTACACAGAAGTTGTAGTTTCGCAACATCTGCTTTTTAAAATAAACTGGCATGATAAATGCAGATCTCTCAAAAAAAACCCACTGTACTTAACCAGAGTAGGTTTTACACATGGACCCACTCTTAGACAAGGATTTTTTTAATACTTTCTTCCCTTTTTGCATCTTACTGTACTAGTGTTATAAGTTAATGGTGTTTTTGTCCATACAAGAAAAAAATAATTTAGAAACTGCTGTCATTTTGATACCAGGTTTTATACCTTTCATATCTTTCAATCTGGCCATGAAATATATAAACAAAAAATGAAAGTCATGACATAGATTTCAATAACTTGCAATGAAAATGTGTAATGGTAACCAAGGAAAGTATTGTGTCTTGCAGAATGCTATTGGGAAAGACAGCACAGCAGGAGTCTCCACAAGTCACATATCTTCAGAGAATTCGTTTGCTCTTCCTACAAGCTTCTCTCTAAGCACACCGCTCCTTCTGATGACAATTGCACTCTCACTCGGTTTGTTCCTAAGTTCATCAGTCATCTTGTAGCTGCGTTACAAAGGGACATATTAAAAAAAAAATCTGTTTCCTGTCCTATGTTGTTTATCTGGAATTCCAGGTCTGGGAGCTAAGCTAAGGCACTCCTGCTAGAACAGTTTCAGTCAGCTGGAATTTTTTTCTCTCTCTAAAAAAGCTTCTTGTGTCATTTAGAGGCTTTGTGAAATACTTGGTGCAGTGCTACGTTCCAAACCCAAAAAGGCTTTTGGGCATGCAGTGTTTTAAAGAGACAGTGTGTAAATTTGCCTGTAAAGCGGCCTGGTTGGATTATTTTAATGATTATTATTTTAATTCTGGCCCTTACCTAAGAAGGAGGATGGCAGTTTTCGTAAGATCCTATTTATCTTATTGAATGGTTTTGGTTTTCAAATTGATTGAACTTCAGACTATCAAGGAGGCCAGGCTTTTGTCTAACATTGAATGTTCTCCCAGAGAGTGGACTTGATGAAACGTCTTCATTTGATAAATTGCTACTGATGTTAAACTCTTTCAATGTGTTAGCATTTTCCTCTTTAAATGTTTATGTACTGTAAGTGATTCTGCGTTCCCTGCTGAGAAGCCATTATAAGTCGCATACAGGTATAATGTATGTTTTTCAGTTAAATTTTCATAAAAATAGTGTTGCATAGATCTTTCTAACAGTACATTTATTTTTTAATTATAATCATCTAGCCTTAACAGGGGTGAAGCGTCTTTAAATTAACAAGAAACCGCCATTGTGAAAGCTTCATAATGTTTCTTTAAATTTGAGGATAAGCAGTAGAAACAAATTTTGCTACCGGGTTTCAGCTGTACAGTCACTGGTCTTCTATGCGTCCATTGTGATGATATAATCCAGTTGTTTTATTGTTTGTTTAATAAAAATGCCGTACAGTTTTATTTGCTCTACTAAAACAGCATTATCTGCTCATACACACATGATAACGTCAGCTCAAAAAGTTGCAGGTGTTTATACCTGAGTTCTGCTATCACAGCTTTGTAGAGGTAAAGAGGTAGGTTATCATTTAAGTTGAGCTTTATTTCTTAAACTGCTAAAATCAACATAAAAGGATTATTAATCCAGTTACAAGGCAGATTCATACATGCTCGCCCACATGACAAGCTTTTCTCACACTAGTAATTCCTACTACAGTCCGTGGGGTTGCTGACATGATGAACTGTTTGCAAGACCCATCCCGTAAATAGTTTGGATGGCAGTGTTGCCAGTATACGTGGTTTGATCACTTTGATTTTCATTCAGTGACATTGACAGTGTATGCTGGCTCATGATTTTCTGCAGTATCTACAAGGGGTTCTTTAAAGCTTTAAATGTCATCAAATAGGCAGCATTTCTCCTAAGGGCTGTCTTTGTACCTTACTGTGATGGCATGGTGACTGTTATAAGCAGTTATGTCCAAATGATCAACAGTAATCTGTTTTTGTTTGTATTGAAAGCAGAAGATAACTTTGTAAGGCAAAGAGTTCATCATGTTAAATTTACCGATTTATGTTAAGACTTACACGGTTGTGTGCAGGCCTGCTTTGAAATGTCCCTATCAGTTACTTACAATGCAACTATATACAACAAATTACTGATTTATAAGCCGCAGTGAAGTTTGGGAGTATGCAAAATGCACATTTTACTAACAGATTATTAAACCTATTGACAAGTTCAACTTTTGAACTTTTTCTTCAAGCTAATAAACACTTTCAGAAATTCTAAAATTCACTTATGTACTCTTGATTATGGTCACATAATAACATAGGTTTCAAAGCACTGTGTGTTTGACAGAGTTCTAGGATACTGTGTGCCATCGAACATAACAAATTAGACAATATTATTCTTTAATTCTGTGCTGATAAGAAACTGAAAATTGTTTTCAAAGGCATCAGAGCTGCTTTTGGAAAAGGAATGTATAGCATGTAATTACCAGCAAAGCCCATGTGGTTCCTGTTGCTCTTCTTGTAGAAGCTAATCAAATTACTGAAAACTAGTGACAACAGAAAAGATTACGAGATTCATGATTTAAAAAATAAATCAAATTCTTTTATGTCAAAAGGAGTTGATAGTCTAACCATTGAAATGCTAATGAACATAGCACTATAATTCAGAAGTCTGACGTTATCCAATTAAAAATATTTTCAAAACAAATTCATAAACATTACAATTATTAAATCCATCTTTGATCCACAAAGCTTTCTTTAAAATATCGTTTGTATTCATCATATTAAACATTTTAAACAGTATCAGGAATTTTAATAACCTCCTAGTATAGTACATACCTTTTTGAAGATTTTATACATTTGTTTTGATTGCAGTATCTCTATTACATTTTATACCAATTATTAGAGCTTTGACACTGTGTGATCCAGAATAAAAGCTATTGATCACTTACGCTGTAAACAACAACCTAATTATCTTCTGATTACAAAAGAATTTACTAGTTATCTGATTCAATGAGAGCTACCTTTGGAAATACAATTATGTATATAGCAGAGAAAGAAATGGCATTTTATACAACTAGCCATGTTACCACAAACAAAACATAGCACTCAAGCTTTTTTTCCTGTGTAAATTAAAAGCATACTGAATTCTTAATTAAAAAATAAATTGCTTATTAAACAGGCAAGAGGGGAAAAAAAACCCCAAAGAGTCCAACACTTAATGAGGTTCTTACAGGCATCACCGTGGAAATATTGGTGGATTTTTAGAAGCTGGATTTGGTGAGGATGATGTCAATTTAGCATGGTGACCTTGTCAATGCAGTCATTTGCTACAGTACTGAAGTATGCAAATTGTATCATTTTGCCCCCTTCCAGTCACTACAGTTGCATGTGTCGAGCGCTAGGAGCGAACAAGCTAGGACTGGCTTTTATATATTCCCTTAGTACATTGCTTCTGTCAATATACCAACAATATGGGAACTGTCCAAATACAGGATGTACGTACAGATGACCTGCTGTTTAAATTGTAAATCTAGCCAATTCAGTTGTGTTTAAATTAAATCACGGGCTACCATAAACATTTTCAAGTCATCTTTTTCATTTAACATAATGGAACAGACATTGTCATTAGCATTATTAGGAGTGTGTATGCACTGCTATGTTAAATAACCTGATATTGTCTCTGTTTCTAGTACACAAAAAGATTAAATTCACACTGAACTGAAATATATGGCTAATGTTTTGCACTATTCAACATAGCTATTAATTCCACAAGCTGCTCCAATGCAAAAGGTACATGGGATGAAGATGATCCTTTCAGATATTAGTAAAAATAATAACAAGGTCCTCCCCTAGCCCTGCAACAAAGAAGAGCCTGTGTGGACAATGACATCCGTCAAAGTGCAGCAATCCTACAGGAGTGTCCATGCAGTGATTTGGTCAGTAATAAGGGGTGCAACCCTCATTTCGCTGACTCCTCTCTGAGTCCCTTCTGTTTTCAAGAGAATGGAGAGGGTGGTACGGAGCATTGTGCAGGAGCTGTCGATCTGTCTTCACTGGGGTACTGGCCACTTTCCATTGAACAGTTTCATTCCCACTGTGTCGTTAGGAAGAATTAGAAACTGAAATTCTTAATCATTTCAAAGCATTGCGTCGATTCTGTCCGGAGACCTATTTCCAGTTTTTTTCCCCCTTTTTTTATGAAGCTATATCCTATAAGACCCAGCCTTTTGAAAATGGGGCTGTTCATAATTTAAGGAATGTTGAATTAGAAGACTGAAAATGTGAAAAAATGCACCATTTGCTAAGGCCATGCAATTAGGCTGGATGTGAAGAAAACAGGGAAAGAATCACCTTGAAATTTCAGTTTAATCTTAATTTCTGATTGTTGGCTTAATTGCAAAGATATTTCTATGGAGGAGAGATGGCGAGAAACCAGTGAGGTAGAAGAACAAAACTCAGAACAGCTCCCTGAAGGGACATAAATCATGTATATGTCAAGTGACATGAGTATCTCATACTTAGTACTAGGATTCATTGAAAAAAAAAGAACCAATTTCTGCTAAAAACAGCTCCATTAGAGCAAGCAGTGAAAGATGGAAGAATGAGCAGGCATTTGTACAGGAATTATAACTTTCTTAGCATAAAATGCAGTTGTTTGTATTCAAAATCATGGTGCATCTACCTTACTGAAAAATATACATTCACTGATAGAACATCTGCAGTAAAATTTTCCAGGGTAAATTCATCTTGGGGCTCCCAAAGTTTTTTATACCCATAAAGTTATTCAGATTCTACCTGTCCATGACATCAGCTCAGACAGAAATATGCTTCTGATGAACTTGGCAGAGAAATTAATCCAGTGACTTGTTAAATATTTCTCATCTTTAAATATTTACTTTTTCTTACCAGCTCAGTTCCTCTTATGACATTTCAATTATTGTCTGCTTCAGCTTCTCCTTTAACTTCAGAAGGTCATTTTCTCCTTATTATACAGTAATCCACTTCCTTTTTACAGATTTGCCTCAGTGTTTTCTTTCATTACAGTCTCTCCTCTGAGAAAACATGCTCTGGAGTATGTCTCTATTGAGCCACCAGCACCTTTACGGGGGAGTGAATTGCAAAGTCCTATTAACACTATTTGGCACTGGTTTAACTAGAACAAGCCAAAATGTGATGTTTCAATTCCATAGATAGAGTTTAAAATTTATTTTGATACTGGAAAAGGATTGAAAATTCAAACTTCCACAGTCTTTTAGAAGTGTTTAAATATTTTAATATATCTTCCCATTGGAATTTCAGTCAAACAGATACAGTCTCACTAAATAGTTTTTTTTTAAAGAGTAAGAAGTTTCATTGGGAAATTTTGATGTGTCCAGTTTTGAGGTAAAATCTGGGAGGGTGGTTAGTTCCTGATTTTTAGCTCAATATTATCTCGACTTTCACACAACCTTGTTCCCTGTTTTCTTCATCTGGGCTTGTTTGCCTTCAGGGAAAGTTTACACTTCATAGATATGTATTTGATGTGGTCAGCCCAGTAATCAGAAGCTAAATTCTGCAACTCCCCTTCAGATGCTCAGTCTCTTTTATCCTTCATGAAAGCCAGAGCAAGAAATTCAAGATTTAGCCTAGAGACTGTTTGAAGTTTAAAAGAGCATAGGGTCAACCAATTTCTCAGTAGCATTTCTCATCAGTACAGAGTGTGGTATTAAAATTTGTTACCATCTAGCCAAGGTTTTAGTCTCTAAAGTTCACTGAGCATATTTGACCAGAACTGCAGTTTCTGCTGTTCTACTTTTGCCGGGTGCCAATAGCTGAACTTTCTCATGCAGCCACTTGGAGTTAATTGGTGCCTGGATTACAGCAGCCAAACATGGTCCCATTTCAGCAAGGGTTCCCCTCACCTCATTTTTTCCCCCTTCTCAGTAGTTCCAACACACTTTCGTTCTTTTGCATTCCTTTTTAATCTCGCAGAACGAGAACTTCCTAGAATCCAGGAGAAAATGGCTTATATACTTATATACTTCTTCAAATTCCTCCTGATAAAAAACCACTTTAATTGACCCCTTTCCTTATGGACTTCTCTCCTACAAACATAGGATGGAAGGATATACCCTGCCCAGCACCTTCAGTACTTATGAAACTGAGCAGGAGTGTGGGGCATTCGGTATCCAATAAATGAGGCCAGTTTGTTTTCAGGCCTCCTCAAACTGCTTATTCTGGGAACTGACATGACAGATAAATGTAGGTAATTAGAGATGGCATCTTGGCATTATGCTACTCCCCATGTTTGCTGGCTTATGTCATGCAGTTTTTCAGCACCAGTACTAATGATGCAAAATTTCTCATAGCTCTTTCAACTAAACATTCCTTTGACAACAGGAGACTTTCAAAGATCCACTGCTGTAATTGCATAAATACTCAGTATTATCCCTTCTGTTGGTTTATTCTTGTGTAGAGAGTATTTTTTCCTCTTTTCCTGAGTTCATTTATCAGATCTGCTTGGAAGCACCAAAGTGTGCTTGACTAATGCCTCTCAGCTGTCAGTACCAGTCTTAGTGACTTAAGTCCCTCTCATGTCAGTACTCTTAGTCTGTTTGTCACTGGCCATTTTATCCCTCTTGCATTAACATAGGCACAGTAGGCACTAACAGGGAGTAGCAATACCCTCACCAACTGTATATGCACAGGTAATACAAGAGCAGGTAGACTGGCACTACCTGGTCTGTACTTACCTAGTCTTGTGTCTACTTTTTCACTCAGGCCTGTCTAGCCAGTGCTATGATCGCTTAGACCACACTAATAAGCCTTTTTCAGAGATACAAGCTGAGAAGTAGGCCATTCCAGTCTTGCTAGCTCAAACCGTAGCTAGTCTGCACACAAGAATAAGAAGCTGATTTTGCACGCTGCCCTTGTTCTTTGGCTTAAAAAGTAGAAGAGCCAACCCCCATAGATTTACTGAGCTCTAGGTAGATGTAAATTCCTTCAAGCACAGAAGCCAGCAAACCTGCTGAAACTACAGAGTAATTTTCAAAACAAAATTAAAACATCACTCTCCGCTTCTGAGAATATCTATGAAATAAGATATATGAGCCATCGGAACGCTTCTGCTGCAGTCAGGAGAAAGTCTGAAGATGCAAGATGATTGCTGATAGAGCCACCATTTTAGCAGAAGGTGCTGCAGAGTGCAGAGTGGTAAGAAACAGAAATGTATGTCCTAATGGGTAGAAGAAAGATAGAGAAACCCTCTTTATTTTCTTTTTGCCTTTTTCTTTGAACTTCATGAATTTGCCCATGGAGGCCGTTCCCTTTTGAGAGGTGACACAGTTCTCCTAAGAGTATGCAAACCAAAACGCACACAGCCTCTCTTTCCCACACCCCAGACCTGCTTACTTGCAGTGACATCCTCTGCATGCTTTGGGGCAGAACATACACTTTAACCCTAAAGAGAAAGTTAATCAGGGAAGGCTGTAACAATTGTTAGAGATGAACAAAGGATTGCATCTCTCGAGCAGGAGCACACAGCCCAGTTTGAGCTAAATCACAAACTGCTTATAAAGAAAAGCAAGTACTGATAACAACTGAAAGAAAAAAATATCTTGAATAGTACGTTGCCTCCCCTTCTGAAGAGGCCACAGTAAAAGTAAAGCATAAAACAAATATCTTCCCTGTTCCTCATATCCTTCACTGTTTCTGGGTAAGAAAAAATATATCCTAAAGGCAGGCAGTGGAAGAAATAACTTCAAAGCACTACAGCACATGAGAAACTTAACTGTTGGCAATTATTAATCTCCATGTTCTCCCCTCCCCCAGAGTTATTGCTACTGAGTTTGCTTAATAGGGTTTGTATGATGTTTTGTGTAGCATTACTTAGTACTGAAATGATTAGCTGTGATTAATACTGCTCATGCTGGGAAGCTGTGTGTATCTTTCACCTGAGGGTATGTCTAATTTGGCATTTTTTCTCTAAAGTGCAAGCTGACAAGAACTGCAGCAAAGGGGAAGTTCAGTTAAAAGTAATTTTTATTACGTCACAATGATGAAGAGATTAATAGAAGGTTGCAGGAAAGGAAGCAGATAAGGTGACTGGTAGCATTTGGACCTAGGAAGACTGGCAGTCACTGTGAATTGAGGATCTCCCCTGTTAGTATTTTCCTGCCCTCCCCCTCCCCCCCCCCCCCCCACCCACAACCTTCCATTTTCTAGGTGAAATTCTTACACAAACAGTTACCTTGTGTACATTCTGTGTTGTCTTATGGATTTCTGTACATCTCACTGCAGGTTATTACGTGTCAGGTCTTCTCACAGTCATAATGGCTGGTAAATCGTTGTAAAAAAATAAAAACACGGTTCACTTGTTCCTGTTGACTTAGACATTGCTCTAAGGACATTGCTCTTTGGACTGTCCACACTTTGGAAGTCAGTTCATGATATTTGGCATTTTCTGTTAGCATAATGCTCTTGCATTTCTGTTGTACATATCCGGAAAACAATCCCTCCCAATAAACATTGTTCTCTTTTTTTTATCAAAAAGCATGTTTTTGTGAGAAAAATTTCCTGTTTTTTTGGTCCTGTTATGAGTTATGCAAATTATGCAAAAGAAAGGAAGCTCAACTGGCAAAAAAAGAAAGGAAAAGGGAAACAAGCTTATTAAAGGTTGATCTCATTGTTCCCTGTTGTTTTCTCCTCTACTACTATCCAAGAAAATTAGAAATAAAGCTTTTCCCTTTAAAAATTAGTGGATTCGCTTGCTCCCTAGTCTTTTTGTGCTACTGAATGTGGCCTGCAAAATTACAATGAGCAGGGAATATCAGATGGAAATAACAGAGAGATAGGCACAAGAGTAGCCAGCTGGCCCTATTCATACTTGCTCACTGTCTGGCATGCAAACACGCCTCCCCACCCATCCAACCCTTCATCCTGTCAAGCTAGAAAGAAAGGGCTTTCTCCTATTTCCACACAATGGGAGCAAAAGAGCTGCAAGAGCTTTGGAGACAAAAGACTTGTAGGAGAGGGTTTTAGGAAATACACACCATGCTGGAGTGGGCGAAAGCGAAGGTGGAGTAACAAGCTTTCATGATGCACTTGCTCTTGCTGATGACTGGAAACCAGGAAAATTATTTCAGCATTTACTTATATTCAAACTGAGTCTTAACACGTGAATAGATTACGTGCAAAGAGCAATTGCACCTGCCTACGACAAACTGCTACATAGCAAAGGGCACGTCACAGTGTCCTACCATGTTAAGACCAGAAAGCTTCAACTACTGCTGTCTCCGAGAGGAGGAGCAAGGTGTTGGGGGAGGACGGGACAGGATACACGAGGATGGAGAGTAGGAGAAAGGCAGGTTAATACAAGACAAAGGGGCTGCTTTTTAGGGGTCAAACCAGCCTCCCAGCCAGCACAGCAGCAGGGCACCATCCTGCATATTCCCTCTTACGTTTTGTCAGTTTTAGAAGACTGGAGCTGCGTGGAGCGTGCATACGGGACGAGATGTTTAGTTGTCCGGCATTGTTTGCTGCTTAGCCCATCCCAGTCTGGGGAGTGAGAGGGGAAGGCAGCAGAGTCAAAACAGGGGTGTCCCTGGGTTCCCTGGCCCCCTGTTGAATTGCTTGGATTTAGGAGTCACTCTGGTCCTGTTTATTACAGTGCTATGCATAAGGTGTTGGAGATACTTCAGCCCACAAGGCGCCCAACTCCAATGGTTTAACCATTTCAAATACAAAAAGATAGAAATGTAAGCTGGGGAATGGGCTGCACAAAAACAATCAAAATGTTTGAACAGCCCAGCTTAGCACTAGGCTTTCCTTCTATCTGCTTTCCCTCTTTCTGTGTGCTGTCACAGCACCAGCTCTGTGAAAGACGAGGATAAGGAGAGAGGGACGGAAATGAAGTCCCTGTTTAAGAGGTACATCTCCCTGATTAGCTGGCTGAGCAGCAGCTTTCCAGGAACAGAAGAAACCAAGCTGTATGTGACACCATGGAGCAGCCAGCTATGCGCGACCAGATGGGTTCTTTTGTGTGCATTTTGTGGGTTTGGTTTGGGTTTTTTTTTTTTTTTAATTTGATTGTTATTATTCTCACATAGCCTCCTTTTGACAACTTCCCTCTGTGTTTAGAGATAATGGCAACAGGGCTGTTTTTACCAGGCAAATGCCAACTGAGTAAGTACCATGGGCCTGCCTAGAAGGCACACAAGCAGAAGCCAATGTGCCATTGCTCTCTTCCAAATGTATAATGTATATATTATGCCATTAATAAAGAATGATGCCTGATAGCATCAGTCTGTTGTCATGACAGAGAGAATGAGGTCCTCATCAGGGAAACTGCATATGCTCCCCACTGGCCTGCATGTTAAACAAACAACCCCTGTCACACCTAGCAATTGGACTGATTTTTTGGTAGAACTGTTAGTGAGGTCACATTGTTGTCTAGTGATAAGACTTATGACGTTTATAGAAGCATTTCAGGTAAGTTGGTTGAGTTATCCTGAGGCATATTACAGGACCCCTTGGTAAGTAAAACGCATAAAGCGGATTGTCATCCTCAAAGTAAGACGATCAGATGGCAAAATTTGGCCAACTAGCCATTAGAAGTTTTCATAGACATGCAGTTCCAGTGTGCCATTAAATTAGTACAGGGTCTCAGCTGTCTAACTGCTTTTAAAAGGTGGTCTTAACCATTTGTCCCTAAACCATAATTTTCCAAACATACTCCTACAACTCTCCAAACCGCTTTACCCAAGCAGTTGGTCAGCCCCAACATTTGAACAGAGTCTGTGTGTTGGTATCAAAAACTGTCTGTATTATTGTCTGCTTCATGCTGGATTCTGTTTTATATTCAGAGACAGAGGAGTATGATTTCCTGAAACAATTTCTTGGTTAAAAAAAAAAGCCCAATTATTTTGGTGATATGCATGTCTTTTTTGGACCTGAATACTAATTACACCCCTAATTCTGCATCGCCCAAAATTGTAACTATATTAATTACAGAAAACAGCAGAGCAACAGCCAGAAACAAGCTAAAATAGGGTCTGGGAAATGTTGCTAGAATGTAATTGTGCAGAGGGTTGGGTTTTTTTTTTTCTTTCTTTCTTCTTCCAAAGAGTATGGGAGAGAACATGTTGCTTTGAGGTAGAAAGCCTAATTCACACAATCCTTAATAAAAAACACACTTATGTTTTGCAGCGTAAAGACTGGTAGTCAGTTGCTTTGGAAGGAGCTGGGATACAAGCCTCTGAACTGCTATTGTATACATATTTTTAAAAAAAGAACAACCCGCCAACATTTTAAGTGAGGTTAGCTAAACAGATGGTATTTATCTCTGGGTTTGCAAGTGCGACACATTCCTCTTGCTTTCAAATGAGACATTAACCAAAAAATGTTGCAGAGAGGCAGTTGGAAAAGTGTGACACAAAATACACACATACACACACATAGATTCAGAAGCATAAAAATAAAAGATAAACCTCAGCAGTCTATTGCTGGCTTCATTTTGTGATTGAAAAGACTTTAAATCTAGTATTAACCTGGCTAACCAGTAATATTTGCTGTTTGTTAGAGGTCAGAATCTACTGGCTATAAATATAATTTATCTTGTTTCTGTCTCCAAAACAATATGGGTCAATACCATAGTGCTGCATTTTGAACAGATCAATGGCTGTAAATAACTCACTACCTTAGGGCTTTATTATTAATACAAATGTAGCTAGGCTAACTATTGAGTGACATTATTAGAAAGGGATTGTCCTTCCCTCTGTGACTTTGATTTATGTCAAATGAACTTAAAGCCCACTAAGTCACAAGACCCTCTTAGTGTATTCCTATGCCTGCTGCTCTTCAAATGCCACCACTTGGTACAGCCCCAGCGGGCATCAGAAGCAGCCAGATGTTGAGCTAAGGAAGATGCATTTCCAGGTACAGAGCTGGCAGTAGAAACCGTTGTCCTGTCAGGTTTGTTGGTGCCCAAATATCTGATACCTGATTAGGCAACTGACTGGTGAGCTGAACTGTGTTATTCTCTTGGATACTGTTTCAACCTGATCTCATAAAACCAAAAAAGAGATAAATACCTCCACAAAATGCCTCTGTTTCCTGGCACATTAAGTACTACTGTGTGGTTTCCTCCTGACGTGACCATATATATGCATGTTTTGATAGTGTATTTATATTTTTCCCAGTTTTGATTATAAATGAGACAATCTTGTGCTTACTTGAAAGGTAGCGGTGAGATGATTATTAAAAATGCTACTCAGTATAAAAAAGGATTTTTTTCACGCTTAAGAACATAAAATTTTTCCGGTAGGGGTATATTTCCTGTGATTACAGACCATCTACACTTGAAAATAACCTTACTTTCAACACCCAGTGACATTAATTTCACTTGACTTCATGTCTTAAGGTCAAAAGCATTAATCAGCACTTCTATCATTAGCTTAGTTTCCTTTTCTATTAAGCGATTATGATCACTTACTATTAATGAGTCGTGAAGTTTTAATAAATTTTTGCTAGTGTGAAATTGCTAAACAGTAATTATAGCATATACTGTATGGATGGTTTGTTCCACGATGTACATTTTGCCTAATGTTGGTTAAAAAACATCCACGAAAAACAACAGAAAATAATTAACTGGTTACAGCTGAGGTTGTGGAATAGCTTTTTTCGCCACATTTATAGACAATAAAAAGACAAAGTGGGTCATTTTTTGTCATTGCTGGAATTACTGTATTTCGGGACCTTGTGACTTTTGCAGTTCTTTATATGAAATGGCACTACCAAGGCTGCTTACTAAACAGGAGACGAAAGAAAACATGAGGTCTTTTAAGAGCTATTGTTTTAACTTGTGTTATAATTCTACTGTTCTGGCATTGAAACAACAAGGTTAAAAAACAAAAGCCAGACCCTTTCAGCTAATACAGAAGAGAAATAACACAGCAAGTCTCATTGCCAAAAAGTAATGTCTGAATACTGGCTTGACTTTCCCTTAGCCTGCCATTACTCACAGACACATCTAAACAACCAAAGCCAGATGCTCATTTGAAGCTTGGCTCAGGTTTTTATTGGTTAACTGACTTTTTTAAACACTCATCCACAAGACTTCCTTAAGAAGAGGAGCAGGACATAAGGTGGACTAACAGTGGCCGACTATTTGGAGGGTAAAAGTCCGAAGGCTGAACATGTCAGGAGGGTATATTAAAGAAAACAAAGGAGGTGACAGTGACAACAGCTTCTCCTCTAACTCTCCCCCATTTCCAGTTTCCTAGTTTACTGATAGCAGTGAAATTTGCCAAGAAGACCATATCTGAAAGAGCCATTGCAGATGTACTCCCTCTTGCGCTGAGGCCAAATTTTTCTGGAGCACCCAAATGGAGCAATAGAGTCAAATGAGCTGCACTGGCTTCACTGAGCACTATTTCTATGACATTCCACTCACCTCGCAGCAACTGGG